ACCGGGGGTCAGGCTGGCGCCCCCGAAATGAGCCACCCGGGAGGCCCCCGGTGCGTCTCCGCCGTCGGGGGGTCCCTGGTGATCCATGCGGCCGTGGCTCCCGCAGCCCCGCTGGGCAAACGTCAGGGCGGCTGGCGGCCTCGTGGAGGGCACATCGCACGGCTCGCGGTCTGCTCGTTGGGCCCCGGGCAGCCTCCTGGGCGCAGCGCACCTTCAAGGTGATAAACGTGGGACACGCAGCTCTGCGGACCACGCGTCCTTGCCTGTGAATCTTTCTCCCCAAGTTCTGCACCATCCCGTCCAACCCTTTGTCCCGGCCATGAGTCAGGACTTCTCAACAGTGACACTGACGACCCCGGGGACAGAGACCTCCTGTTTTGTAGGGGACCGTCCTGGGTGCATCTAAGATGTTTAGCAGCACCCCCGACGGACCTCTACCCCTCCGCCTACCTGCGACAGTGGAAGATGGCTCCGGATATCGCCAGCTGTCCCCAAGTTGCAGGGGGAGGAACGTGCCCTATTAAGAATCACAAGTGTAAGGTTAATTCTTCTGGCTTTTGTTTTTTAAATATGTTTTTTTATTGGTTTTTAGAGAGAAAGGAAGGGAGAGAGAGAAACATCCATGAGGAGAGAGTCAGGGATCGGCCGCCTCCCGCGCGCCCCCTGCTGGGGATCGAGCCCACAACCCAGTCCTGTGCCCTGACCGGGAATCCAACCGCGATCCCCTGGATCCTAGACTGATGCTCAACCACTGAGCCACACCGGCCGGGCTAATGACTTTTTAAAATTCTTCAGTAGTAATTGCATTCATTCTGCCCTTCACACGATCCAGTTAGGGGCCATGCGTGTTTTGTGCTTGCTTTCTGGGGTGAAGGGAAGGAAGACAGCCTGCCTCCGGACGGACAGACGGGGCGGGGCAGCATTGGAGCCCTGGTCAGCCACGTGCTGCCCCCTGGTGGTGGGGCTGCCACGCTGGGCCTGAGTGTGCAGGGAGGGGGCGGGGCGCTGGGCAGCCGCTCCCCCCTTAGATGGCAGG